ATGTTTTTATATAAAGAATGGGCATTGACGTACACATTTGTTTGCAATATAGTTCTCAGAGTATTAACAAATTTAAATCTGCCCCACACCCAGCTGCATTCATGAAGAGAAAAAAAAACCCCACCATCAAACTTATTTTGAGCCAAGTAAATATCATGCCAATGTTTGGGAAGGTTTCTTTATGGTCCAGCCAGGAAACTGCTCCAATTAGCCCCGCCTAAAAGATGCAAGAAACTTCAGAATAGTATCCAACTCATATCTTAAATATCAGTCTGTAATTTACAGAAAACACTCAAGAATGTACATATCTGGGAGATACGAATCTTCATGAAGGCCTCACAGAGAAAACAAGTACACGAGAGCAGGGAAGTCTGTATTCAAGTGTCTGCAAGCAATTTAATGAAAATATCCAAAACAAGAAAGTACCTTTTAAGGCTCGGACTACAACTGCAAGAACTAACTTCAGTTTAAAAAAAAAAAAAAAAAATCAGTTCCTCTGTTTATCTATTTGTGTACATTTGCCTCTGAATAGAGACTCTGATGACAGTCCAAGAGCCTGTGAAACACTTTCACTCTTTGCCTTTTCCTTTACATTTAGCTACCAGCAAGGGTGTGCTTTTCCAGTAAGCTCCACAGAGTAGTTCAGGGTTTGCAAGGCAAAACATTGGTTTGAGGAAAAGAAACATTCCACTGATGCACGCTACCATATTCTTGGCATGAAGCTGCTGAGAGTGTGCTTCTACCTCAGACATCTCTATCAAGTAACAAATGTCAACTGTAAAAAGAGGCTGAGGATTTCTAACATCTCCCCTGTTTGCAGCACAACTTTGATCTCTAATTAAAGGACCGTTCTGGGACAAAGAAACTACTTTTTACCACTTTTTCAAATGGCTGCAATTCAGCGAGTCATTGCTTGCAAAAAGCCCAAACCAACTAAAAACTGAAAACTCAGGTAATTGTCCCCAGACTATCTGCAGATGCAAGAGCAGAGGGGAAGAAGAAGAGAAAGCACTAGCTCAAGTTTTCTTCAAGTTCCTAAGCACTGCTAAAAGTACATACTCACCCTCCTCTTCTAGGGCTAAGGAGAAGAAAACCCTGAGCATCACCTAGACCACCATAGAAGACCTAGAGAAACTGCTCACGTTACACAAGTTTGCAACAGAGCACGGCAGAATATTCCCCTGGAATCTCAAATACACCAATTGATAGACTGAACAGAAGAGGGAAAAGAAAGCGAGGCCGACTGTGCACAAAAAACTGTCTCAGAACATTAGAAATGCTTATGCTATTTGTGCATTTCTACTTTCCTGACACATTTTATGGATCAGCTAGCTTTGTCTTAAACATATTTAGTCACTCATTTGAAGTTTTTATGCTTTTTTTCCTTTTATGAAGGGAGCATGCTGATATTATGCACACTGAGCTACAGAACCGTACACAGGCAACTTCCAGGGAGCAAACTGGGTCCAGCCTTTACATTTTGGCTCCCTCTTCTGGAAAGAAGTAAAAAAACAATTAGCACCACTAAAGGGTACCTTCCTCCTGTTAAACACCGAATGTCCAGTTTTCAGTGCAGCAGTTTTTCCCCCCCTGCTTCACCTGACACCTGAACACAATTGAGGATGACACCAAAATACAGCAAATTCTGCCTACTTAATACAAAGTCACACTACATACAAAGACCAGATCAGCTTCCATTTTTTAAGACACAAATCTCCAATTTATATGGTGCTTTTTGGAGCTGCTGTTACTTTTTGCTTGATCAGATGACTACAGTCAGACATCTCTGACAGATGAGGAGCATAACCAATGACGCCAACTTACCTAACTATGCTAGTTATGATCTATCAACTATGCTGTTCACGTACAAGAAAAAAAAAAATGCTATGCATATATAGCAATTCCCTCAAGAAAAGGACCCGGTACAGTTGCATTCAGCATTTTCTCACATGAAGTTGAGACCTTAGATCATCAGAGTTGTATGCTGAACAACACTGGGTAATTCTAAGTAACTAAATGTGAACAGGAACCATAAGCAACTCAAAGCTGAATTTGCAAGTAGTGATATCTATTACGTAGCAAATAAACTTTTGAATTAGGTAAAAAATGGCTCCAAGCATGGCAGCAATATATACAGCCACTATTAAAGGCAGTCTGTATCATCTGTAAAACTGTTGACAATTAAGAGAATGTACAGTACTAGGACATATAAAGAAAGAGATGAAGATTTTTTTCTCAAAACTGGACTATACCTGCACATTATGCTGTTCTTGAGTTGGTATTGAGTGTTTTACCTCTTCTGGCTCACAGCTTCAAGTCAAAAATCCGCAGATTATGAACACTAATTTATTTCTGCTCACACAGAAATCATTCAAGCACCTCCAAATACCCATCTATGCTACCTCTGTACCGTTTGCTAGTTCTCTTCTTTTCCAAACAGAGACTTTGTATCTCAGAGCTAGACACAGTATGGATTTATTGAAAGGTGTAATTTCTACCTCATCACTAGGAAAGAAACAATTCTTTAGCTATCAACTGCATTTTTTACCACTGTTAACATTCCCTGAAAGAACCAATCCCAGAGCCTGTATGCTCTGTCTGCTCTTGGCAGTTATTTCAGAACTTGTAATTCTGCAAATACAATTAAGGTTATTTTCTCCCTGAACTTGCATCTTTACCTTTATTCCTTTGCATTTGCCAAGTGATGCTGAATTTCAAGCAGTATTGAGAAATCGTTCTCCAGCGTCTCTTCGTAGAAAAATCCTGTGTTTTGGTATCTATATGCCAGTTCTGTTGTTTTGTCCTCTATCCATTACATTTATTAGTTTTATGAAGTTCATGTGAAACCCAAATTATCCACCACATCACCTGCCCATATATTCCACTCTGTTTCCTCATGTATTTCCCCATATAATAGGAAAAGAAAGACCGGACTCTTTGCTGCCCAGTGAAGACTGCACAATGCTAATGGCAATGCGGCTCGCACATTCAAAGCAGCAATACAGAATAAAGCAGCATGAACACATGCAGTTATTCTTATCTGAAATTATTAATCCACAGGAACAGATCTGTTCCTATCCCATGAAAACACAATTTCTTTAGCAGTGTGGAGTAAAAAGTTCCAATAATTGGGAAGATAACGAGACTATACCTTTCTTTCCAAGTCCTTACAAAAGTACCTCATGTAAACGGGACAAAATAATTTGTAAAGGGTTTGAGAAGTTCTAAGTAGTAAGATACTCTGTTCAAAGTAATAACCGTGTATTTTCCACACTGCTCATAAGCACAAAGTACATACGTGAAACTTATGAAATCTGAATTTCTAGTATTCAACACTAAGGCCACACCATTCCATTTAAGAGCTTAATATTTTTCACATTAAAATAATCTAAGCCTTTAAAGAACTCTCTGCATGCATAAGGTAGACCTGCTTTTTTTTCTTCAGCTAGGCTCCATCTGCTGGTCAGAACTGGCATTAGCTGGGGCATCATTTAAATTTTATTCCTTCATTATGCCTACACAGATGTCCTTATACTATTCTTTTCTGCAAGAGGAAGAACATATTGAAGCACTGACTTCTGTCGTTAGAACACCTTCTGTGTTCTTCCTTATCCCATTTCATCTCAAAAATACTCTCTCATAACTATACAGGAACAGTAACATTTGGAAACAAATGCAAAATATTTACAAATCAGACACTGCTTGAACATAACTAAAGCTTTCACACCCCTTTAGGAACCTCAATCTAAACCAGGCTCTAGACCACTAGAGATTCTTCCAGAGACTAGCCCAGGCTAGAGTGGTAATGTAGAAAGACAAGTTCATTTCAACAGTGCTCAGTAGCACGCAGATGCTTCTTGAAAGTAATGGTAAACTTCCAAGACAAATGAAAAGCATAACATAAGCTAGATAGGAACATAAAGCAAACAGGACCTCACAGTTACTCCTCTTGACAAGGTCTGTGCCCATTCCACTCAAATTTATACAAATGCGGATGGATGGACAAGCAAGTTTCCTACATACTTTGAGTACTCTGCTTGTTTCCCACAGCATAAGAGCTCACATGTCCCAATGACAAAACCTGCCTAGCTTCCTTTAGTGCAAGAAGTAGAGAAACAAGACCAACTTTCTATTGCAATCCTCTCGTGTCATCTTGAAGTCCCTCTTCCCTGAAATGATGCAAGAACTATTACAGGTACCTTACTGAGAAGGGAATAGGTAAAAAGGAACATGAGAACACAAAGGAATTTCCAAAAGCTCTGCAGAACCACTGCTGAAATACAAGGAAAGAATCAACAATACATGCCTGCTTCAGAGTCAGGCTTGGCTCCATGGACAAAACCTAAGTCTATGCATTATACCAACAATATATGCTATGCCAGACCACAGTCAGTTTCTTATTTTTCGATACCTGTAACACAGAAGAAACCAAATGCTGAGACAGACGCATTCTCTCTCATGCCTTGTGATTTTCAAGTGTCTCCAAGCAAGTGCTATTTCCAGGAACAGTGTGGAATACACCTTCTTGAAAAGCCAAGAACAATTAACCGTATGGCTAACCTTTACGCAGCAAGAAAAGTTCAAATTATTTCAACACTGAAATCCTCAAAGACTACTTATTTCTTGGGCATACAAAGATAATAACGCTTCGTAAGGTAATACTGACTCCTAAAAGTTTAGCAGAAAGCTGTTCATACTTTCCTAATATCGGAATTGTAAGAGTGAAGACCACAGTCTTCTTTCTACAGTAAACAAGTAAAAGCATCCTCAACATAAAACTGTCATTTGCACTTCAGTAAGCACCATCATATTACTATTTCTGGTATTTGCACAAGTTTTGAAAGCCTCCCACTGGCTGAAAGGCACGCTGAAGAAAGTAAAAGCAATTCTATACGAAAAGCAAGGTATTATGACTGTCGCAGAGAGACAAGACAATAGAGCAGAAAAGTTTTCAACATCAGGAACAGTGAGAGAAATAATTTACACTTTAAGAAGCTTACCTTTGTTGAAAGCACTTTAAACGTACTTTGCTCTGGCACTATAGAGTGAAGAAGAACAAGCTTTAAGTTGTAGTCTTCACCTGATGGAAGTCTCACTGATGCATTCATCTGTTAACAGTGGAACACACATCTCTGGTCATCTTTGAGAGCAGTTTTCCATTTCCAAGTAAATGACTGTCATTTGGCACCAAGATTAAGTGATTAAATTAATGACCCTTTACTAGGGCACTTAAAGCATCAGGCGTCAGAATTTCAGATGACGCCATTACACCACTGCATTATTGAACAAGGTGCTTCTAAAGCACACTAGAAAATGAACAGGAGATTTCAATTCTTAGCCAGCAAGGTACTCAAAAAGCCTCTTATCTTGTCAGCTTGATCTGCATTCTTTGGGGAAAGAATTATATGGCAAATGAAGTATCAACACATTAATAATGGAACATGAAAACAATTTGCAACTTCCCTCCTAATACACACAAACTACGTGGCAAGTGCTCACTGTTTTAACAATCTAAAGTAGATAGTAACAACCAAGTACTTCCTGTAGTTCGTGAAGTAGCAACCTAGTGGACATTAAGAACCTAGCTCTTCAATATTCTCAGCTAAATTAAAACACTAACATCATTGGTACTGCATACGGTATTACGATAAAGAGATTACCGCACCTCCTTTAAATATTTTGCCGCCATTAGCAATTTTAGTAATGCCAAACCCAAGAAAAACCCACCCACCAACATTCACTCTTTTTCTATAATTGTCCTAAAGCAAAATATTACTCATTCATACCTATTTTTAGTGCACCTTGCCTCTGTCCATTCCTACTCCAGATGCACGCACACTCAAACATTTTAAGTCCAGATCACTTCCTCCCTCACCCCTTCAAACACACCGGCAGCTGAAAAACAGATGTTCCCTCTGCAAGATGCACACCACACTACCGCTTGGGTATAAATCCTGTGGACACTGCTGTGGCAATAGAACCAGTTCACTTGATTGAACATACACACATCTACAGCATAGCCATACACACAAAACAGCTCAGAAGACCTCTTGTACTGTTTTTTTTTTCATGCTATTGCAGCAGATAATGTTCACTGGTTTAATAACTGCATCTTTGGGAATCTAGGGATACGTATCGATAACCAACACAAATCACCTCTTTCTCTGAGAACTGCACACTGACATCATCCTTCTGTGCATTCTTGATCATTATAGTCACAATTACTTGAGATTCTGTTTGGTACCAGTCATATCTGGGGAAAGGGAAAAAAAAAAAGAGAGGAAAAAACCTGACTGCAGAGAGACGTACAGAACAATACCAAAAGCTAGAACATTGTGTAGCTTAATGAGGGAGAGAAGACATACAAAGTAAGATTTCTTTCCCTTCCTCCCCTTCCTCTAACAGCAGCTGCAGAACTGACAAGATAAGCAGTTAAAGAACAAAGGATCATTTTTAAGCAAGAAGCATATCAAAATTAGGTCACTTTCTTAAACAATTCATAATATTGATTGCCTTCTATAAATTAAATGGCACTTTTTAGTTCAGGGTCTTAAAAGCCTCTCAAAAAGATTACCCATACTAGGCACAATGGGGCAGTCTTTCAATTAAGCTCAGCCCAAGAACTAGAAACAAGCCAGAATGCTTACTCCACTGCCTGCTCTCCCAGTGAGGCATAATCTCCTGAAAGTACAATTCAGTCTGAACAGAAGTGAGGACACTGTTTGAGAAACATTTGACTTAGACTGTCATGTTCTAAAGTTACCAAAAAAGAATTCTTACAGTCATTATCCTGCTTCTCCAATCCCGAAGTCAAAGAGCAGTTTTATGTCAATTATTTTAACTCTCACAGTAAAGCTAAAGTCAACTTACTTGATCTTTGGTGGCAGAGGCTGCTGCTGTGTATTCTAGTTGAAGCACATTCCATTGGAAAGAAAATTACATCAGTGTAAGTGAAAAGATACCACAAAGTACTTTTCAAATACATAAATCATTTTCATACCAATTGCTCCCCTTTTCTTGATTTATGTATGTGCATTAACTTACAGGTGAAGCTCTTCACTGTTCTCCTAGCCATTTATGGCAAATTAAGAATTAAAAAGCTTCAATTTACATCAAATATGTCAGTCTGTAACCTGGAATGTGTTTGTCAGACATTTTATAAGTAGCACTAAGTTCAGCTTTAACTCATTTTCTTCCTGGATAAGAAGCATGTCTGAAAGACACAAAATGGCTAGGTGGCTAATCTTAAAAGTCATGAAGGAAACCTGAAACAGATTTGAGAATTTAGGGTATAACTGTTAAACAAAAAAACCTTTTAACTGTAAGATTTGTCTTTACATACACCAACCATGTTTTCTGTACACTTTCCTCCTCTATCCCATTCTTAAAATGTAAAAAATGGAAGTAACTATGAAAGAGGAAGCAGAACATCCAACGCAAATTCCCATTTTTGTCTCATAAAAAGGGGGGGGTGTCAATTTCAACATTTCTTCTGAAGATTTCAAATTAAAAAAAAAAAAAGAAACTGAAAGCTGAACAAGTTACAGCAGAAAAAAGTCCACGCAAAGCACTTGTAAGCTATTGGAAAAAAAAGTTACTTCCCAGCAGTCACAAGCAAGTTAGTACTGACAAGATGAGCTGGTTAATTTGTAGAATTAGGCCACAGACTGCAAGCAACTAAGTTAAAATTTACTTTAATGAGTGCACAGTAACTGCCAGATATGTATGCCATTCCTAAGAAGTTTTCAGGGTTCAGATTTTGCAACCTTGGTCTCAAATAAAAGAGCACATGTTTACAAGAAAAGTTATATCCTTCAGAATTGCATGCAATAGAAAAGATAACTTTTAAAGCCTGAAAGTTTTAAGAAGCCAGCGAAGCCTAAAAGTATGCTCTAGCTTAACAAATTGAAACAGTAAACATATTAAGGAAAACACCTTACCACTTCTGTCTGTGATGCTGCAGAAAGAAAAAAGTTGCACTTTCAGAAAAATACATGTTGATCGTACAAGGCATATACTTATTCTAGCTTTCTTCAGTTAGTCCAGACATTCTGCACTTACTATGGTCTCAACAGTAGAAGAGTTAAGAAGGTGCCAGTTCTACCTCTAGTATTTTGCTTTTATGACACTCTACTTTTTAAACAGACTTCAATCAGCAACTTGTGCAAAGGAATAACTGTAATATGAAGCATGTTCTGATTAACAGAGGGAACAAACTTTCCATTACTTTCCTTGCTTATTAGAAACCTATATAGACCTTTTTTAATGAAAGCAACATAATGGCAAACAAAAGTTTAAAAACAAAAAATAACTTCCTGCAAGTCTGTACTAGGTTTATTATCATCCACAGGAACAGCATAAAGTTCTCATCAAATCTGTATCTCATGCTAGGCAAACACAGCTGGGGAATGAGATGGAAATCTGGCAGAAAAATTCACTTAGATGACCTTAAGTATACTGTATTACTTTGATCTAAACTATAGCTCAGTATTTCCTCTTCTAAATATTGTTTCCTAAAATATTTCAGATTAAATATGTTTGGAAAGAAACAAACTTTCCCTTTGCTTCTTTTTATCCCTTTTTAGCAGTGTGCATTATAGATTAATAAAAAAGAATATTTAAGTTGGAATTAAGAAATCAGAGGGTTTGGGGTTGGGTTTTTTGTGGGATGTAGGGTTTTTTTGTTTCTCCATTTTTTTTCCTGGAGTATCAGAGAATTAAGACAATGGCTCAAAAAAGACAGTGATGAATATTCAAGATAAAACAGGACAACCGAGTTGAACCAGACAAAACACTACAAAAAGTAATTATGACGTTAGAGAAAAATGTGTATTTTAACCTCTTTCCTTGAGATGGAAGAAAAAGTTGTCACCCAAGATAACTTCAAATAAGACCGCGCATACCAAAAAGTTATTCTCCAACTAAAAATAAACCTGGCGAAAATGTACCATGAAGCAGAAACTTGTTCATTCCTATACAACACAAAAAGGTTCTCCTCTGTTTGGTTTTTAGTCGACGGGTTGACATGAACTTGCATTATTTCCACTGCCTCATTCTCCAGTGCACACCACAAAGAGGCAGGAAGTCACAAGTGAAGGAAATAACACAATAATTGATGTAGTTTTCTCTCATTAAAATCCAGTCAGTTTAAGCACAGCAGTTGAGTTCATTGCTGGGGATATCAGTTTATAGGAAGGTATGAAGGGAAACACTCACTGACTTACCACGGGTAAGACACCAGAACAGCAATTAGCACCTGACTAAGGCACTCTCCACATGGCATCAGAGCAAAATCCCCAAATTGCCACCTCTCTTTCCAACTTTATATGCTGCAAGACTTGAAAACTGATTTTGATGCTGTTTTTACAAAGTTGACACATGCTTCCACAGTTAAAATTAGCTAGCATCTGTATATGAAAGCGAGTTAAAATTAATTATGATTATCTGAACTTTACATAGATACTCCTCTGTCACAGCTAATTATGACATTAAACACCCAATATTAATGTTCCCCTAATCTGAAGTATAGAAGTGTTCAGGATGCATAGTCTGAGAGAAACAAGAGACAGGAAAAAGTGACATTTTTTAACAAAATTTCTTTTGTTCAAAGTAAAGAGATAAGATGTAAATCTTTGAAAAACATGACACAGCTTCAAAGCACAGGGCATATCAAATCCCTTATGAAGAAAATGTGATTTCTCTTACCGTTTAGTGTTTCCTCACATCTTTTAATCCAAATAGTAAAGGTATCATCTACATCTAGAAGAGACCAAACACAGTAACATTAGAACTCTTCAAGCACTACATGTATTGCATAAAGAACAATTCCACACAACTGCCAACTGGAACAAGTTCATCCCAAACTCACATTAGTTTACTAAAAAATGGTTTTTTTTCATCTTGTAGCCTCTGTCATTCAATTAAGCTTTAAGTATTTTTATACAACTCTACTATTTAACGCTGTTATATTTAATTAACTTCAAATTAATTTGTAGGACACTAGATTTTGTCTGAACTGACCCAAATACGCTACCACTTTCCAGTGTGCTCAACCTCTATATCAACTGTTTGAAAGCAAGAAGTACAGTTTTACACATTTTTCCATTATTCTTAAAATTATTTTTTCAAACACTCAGTCACACTCCTCCTCTCCAGAGAAGCAGCAGAAGAGGTGGTCTGTTCCGAGGACAACCCAAAGTTGCACAAGTTTTCCCAAACTTTCCCAAAATCAAGTGTTTTCTCCTCATGGTTTTAGACAAACATTACAAACACATCTGAAGTTTCAGGGATATTAGGAATACATAGGTGGCAATTCCACTCTATGAATCAAAATCACAGAAAAGTTTAGTAAGACCTTGACATAGGAAGCAAGCTCCCCAGGTAGAAATTAATTCACAGGAAATTAGCTCGAAAAGTAGTGTAATAACAGAGTAAGCATCTTACTTCAACAAAATTCCCAGAAAAATCTTTCACAGTCATGGAAGTAAAAAAGTAGAAATGTTACTGACCAACTACTGGGAATAGCTAAACTTTTTATCTCTTTGCAATAGGGAATTCACACTGAGGGAGTTCACACAGCCAGCTATCCAGCAGAGGGCTTGAAGAGGCTCCACAAAAGCGTTCCCAACAGACACGCGTGTAACACCAAGCGTGACTTCACCGCAGTTATGCAAAGTATTCTCCCTAACCCCATCAAATATGACATGTACGTATGTTTTAAGGTGTGCCTTAGATCTTAAAATCGCTACCCCACTTCTCAAGCTATTTCCTCTTCCCTTTTCTTCCGCCATCCCCACCAGTCATCTTAAAAGGTTATCTTTATTTTAAGCTACATAACATTTATGTCACCTCTCAGTTGCTGTTAGGAAAAGACAAAAACGCAAGTAATAATATGGCTGTCTTGACGTTACAACCAGTCGCTGATTGCAGTCTTCTATATTCCTAGCAAATTCTGAAAAGAAGATACCTACTTTCAGATAGAAAATTAACTGTCAGAAAAGTTATGTTGGGGGATCCAAGGGCTGCCTTCAATTACTGAATGTACACTTAAGGTATTCAGATGACTGACTGCGGACTGTCCTCAGAAGTACATGGGGAATGGAAGCGAGGCAAAGGACCCAAGATGCAGCAAAGTTAGTTCTGATTAGACAAGGAAAATTCTTTACTAGAAGAGTGGTCAAACACTGGAGCAGGTTGCCCAAAGAGGCTGTGGAATCTTCAGCCTTGGAGATACTTGGAAACGAGCAGTAGAAGGACCTGAGCAACAACATGCAAGTTCAAAGTTAATATTGCTTTTGGCCAGGGCATGGAATTAGATGAGCTCCAGAGCTTCCCTGCAACCTAAACTAATCTGTAATTTTAAAAGACTTCCAAGTTTTGCAGCCGGGAACAAAGTTTGTCAATCAAAAGGGAAATTAAATAAAGTAGGTTCAGGAGTCTAAGCAAAAAGCAACTGAGTCAAGTCTCCACTGATCCAGACTCTGCCTTTCAGCAGCACCTGAGGAATTCTCTTTTTAACTGTGGCCTATGACAAGACTGCTATGCAACATAAACTTTAAAAGAAAGGTCCAGTGTTATCTGTCCTATTTTCCTAGACGA